GTCAGGGGAGAAATAGTATGGTTAAAGGCAATGCAAATTGAACAGGAGACTCATGTTTAAGTTGAGGAAAAATGAGGAGAAAGACATAGTGATTTGTGTGAAAAAGACTAGAGGACTAGGGCCAAAATTAAAACCCTTAGAGCTGAATTTTAAACTAAATGTACAAAGTAATTTGAAGCAAAGCTAGTGGAGCAAAATGTAACAAAGAGTCCAAATTGTGCCTTTTCATAAGCAAAGGTCATGAACCAGTGGCATTTTCTTTGAAATAGGAACCCTATAGGAAATCTAAGATCAATGCTGGATGTAGATTTACTTGCATTAAACATGCTGATTCTACACTATTTTTGAAAGGTTAAGAAAACATGTGAGGAGCCCAATACAATGAAAAGTGTTTGCATGATTTCTTTTTTGAACCTGAATAGGTTGAAGCAAACCCTAGACAGAATCTGTAAGATGATAGTTGTAGCAGACACAGATGGCATCCCACCCATATCCTCTCACCTTTACCATCTTGATTCATACTTGTGAACTTCAAACTGCCAGCTCTTAAATTTATGTGTGGGTTTTTTTTTTTTTTTTGGCCCTTGGGGCTTGTTTTGCAGCTAGGTAGCAGACCAGGAATTATAGGCAATTAATAGCTCCCAGGACAGCTACATGTAAAAGAATGAAATTACAACACTCCCTAACACCATACACAAAAATAAACTCAAAATGGATTAAAGACCTAAATGTAAGGCCACACACTATCAAACTCTTAGAGGAAAACATAGGAAGAACACTCTATGACATAAATCACAGCAAGATCCTTTTTGACCCACCTCCTAGAGAAATGGAAATAAAAACAAAAATAAACAAATGGGATCTAATGAAACTTCAAAGCTTTTGCACAGCAAAGGAAACCATAAACAAGACCAAAAGACAACCCTCAGAATGGGAGAAAATATTTGCAAATGAAGCAACTGACAAAGGATTAATCTCTAAAATATACAAGCAGCTCATGCAGCTCAATATCAAAAAAACAAACAATCCAATCCAAAAATGGGCAGAAGACCTAAACAGACATTTCTCCAAAGAAGACATACAGATTGCCAACAGACACTTGAAGAAATGCTCAACATCATTAATCATTAGAGAAATGCAAATCAAAACTACAATGAGATACCATCTCACACCAGTCAGAATGGCCATCATCAAAAAATCTACAAACAATAAATACTGGAGAGGGTGTGGAGAAAAGGGGACCCTCTTGCACTGTTGGTGGGAACGGAAATTGATACAGTCACTATGGAGAACAGTATGGAGGTTCCTTAAAAAACTAAAAATAGAACTACCATACGACCCAGCAATCCCAATACTAGCCATATACCCTGAGAAAACCGTAATTCAAAAAGAGTCATGAGCCACAATGTTCATTGCAGCTCTATTTACAATAGCCCGGAGATGGAAACAACCTAAGTGTCCATCAATAGATGAATGGATAAAGAAGATGTGGCACATATATACAATGGAATATTGCTCGGCCATAAAAAGAAACGAAATTGAGTTATTTGTAGTGAGGTGGATGGACCTAGAGTCAGTCATACAGAGTGAAGTAAGTCAGAAAGTGAAAAACAAATACCGTGTGCTAACACATATATATATGGAATCTAAAAAAAAAAAAATTCTTCTGAAGAACCTAGAGGCAGGACAGGAATAAAGAAGCAGATGTAGAGAATGGGCTTGAGGACATGGGGAGTGGGAAAGGTAAGCTGGGACAAAGTGAGAGAGTGGCATGGACATGTATACACTACCAAATGTAAAATAGATAGCTAGTGGGAAGCAGCCACATAGCACAGGGAGATCAGCTCAGTGCTTTGTGACCACTTGGCGGGGAGGAATAGGGAGGGTGGGAGGGAGATGCATGAGGGAGGAGATATGGGGATATATGTATATGTATAGCTGAGTCACTTTGTTATAAAGCAGAAACTAACACACCATTGTAAAGCAATTATACTCCAATAAAGATGTTAAAAAAAAAAGCATGCTAAGTGGTAAATTTTGCAATCTAATTTTATATTTAATATTTCAAAAATCTCCCTGTAACCAAAGGCTACCCCCATTAGAACAGTGGTAAGGATTCAGGTGTTATTATATCTCACTGATTCCTTATTTACAGGATATTAGAGAATATAAAATATGCTTCATCAGAGAAGGAAATGAATGCTTATTGTTGCGCCATTGACAAGCTGAGAACCTTGGGGTCAGAGCAATCAAGAACATCTACCTGTCACATACTAATGGTAAGTGTGTGTAAAATGTAAGAGGAAGGAAGATTTTTCCTAACCCTATAGCTTTCATTATATTCACTTATCTGTCCTTTATATCTTTGATTAATTCCATTTAGGGGCACATAGATGTTTTCACAGACAGTTTATTTTGATACACAAAATGGAAAAACAAAGGACCCTTTTTCATTTTGCTTAAGCTTTAACTTCTTATTGAAGAAACTCACCTGGAATAAGCTGTACAATAGTGAGTACATTTTGTACAAGTATCAAATGAAAGAGCCCGTTACCAAGGCTGATATGTTGAGAAATGTAATACAGATGTATAAGAATCACTTCTATGAGATCCTCAGGAAAGCCTCTGAGCATTTGGAGCTGGTCTTTGGCCTTGACATGAAGGAAGTGGATCCCAACAGAAATACTTATGTCCTTGTCAATAAACTGGAACTAAGCTATGATGCAAAGCCAAGTGATGACAGAGAGGTTCCCAAGACTGGTGTGCTGATGACTGTTCTGGGCGTGATCTTCACGAAGGGCAACTGCGCCACTGAGGAGCAAGTCTGGGAATTGCTGAATATAATGGGGCTGTATGCTGGGAGGAATAACTTCATCTGTGGGGAGCCCAAGAAGCTCATCGCCAAAGATTTAGTGCAGGAAAGGTACCTGGAGTATTGCCAGGTGGCCAACACTGATCCTCCGTGCTATGAGTTTCTGTGGGGCCGGAGAGCCCACGCTAAAACCGGCAAGATGAAAGTGCTGGAGGTTCTGGCCAAAATCCATGATACGGTCCCCACTGCCTTCCCATCCTGGTATGAAGAGGCTTTGAGAGATGAGGGAGAGAGAGCCCAAGCCAGGGCTGCAGCCAGGGCTGGCACTGCTGCCCTGGCCAGTGTGCGCTCCAGGGCCAGAGCCAGCAGTTTTTTCTGCCCTGAGTGAAGGCTGAGGAAGGTTATTTAACTACATGTTCAAATAGAACAGCTAATGTTCTCATTAGTGGAAGGCTGGGGCAGGGCTGGAGAAAACAGAGTATATAACATATTTGTGCTCCTTTTCTATGTAGTAACTTGGATAAATTTGCCTAAATGTTGCTCCTTTTAGTAGAAAGTTTAAGTAGCTTCAGAGTCTGAGTTTATGAATGATGTAAATCAGACATTTATTGATGTTTATGAGGTTTAAGAGTAAGAGTTTTACTATTTTATAGAATTGGGAAATTTTCCATCTCAGTTATTTGGAACAAGATAACATGTCATTGGGTTAGGCATTTCCTTGGAAATGTGAAAAGAAATCAGCAGTAAAATGGTTGGGATCAAGAGATAGAGGAAAAAGTAAAAGGCGATAAATTTTTACATTCCCTTATCACGTTTAGTCTGTTGTTCTGTAAAATTAAGAGATATATACTTGGATGTGCATACTTTATTCAAGAATGTAGAATTAATTACATCATAAGAAATTAGACCTCTTGCACACTGTCTCATCTATTTCTCAAACATTCCATGAGCATCTGCTCTTTGGCAGGCTCTGGGCTACTACTGGGAATGTCAGGAAAAACAAGACCAACTGTGCCCATAGAATTTTAGAGCCTAGGAACAGCTGTAAAGTAAGGAAGATAATGAGATACACCCTAAGACCTAAGGACAGGTCAAAAGGAGGAGAGGACATAGGAGGATCCAGAAGTGAGCAGTCAAGTGTAAATGCCCTGAGGCCAGTGGGTTTGGGAAATGGCATGTCCTTCAGTGTGAGTCAGTGCTGTGGTAAGCTGGGAGGCGGGTCAGATGAGGCTGTGGGAGTGGTGGGCAAGGGCCAGACCCTCAGAAGGTGTGCCCAGAGTTGAGAGACGAAAGCCTGAAATGGAAAACTTCTAGCAGTTACGTTTGAGTCATGGATAAACCAGAGAAAGTTCTCCACCTGGGATAAGAATGGAAGGTGACCTACATCCTTTCCAGTGCCCTTTTCCCAGTGCAGTTGAGCACAGCACATGAACTATGTGTTTTATGCTCATCATCCCCAGGGAATTTCTGAGAAATAGGGGTGATCATCTATGACATGCGTGTGGTCAGAAGCCACCATGCTAGCAATCTTTACTGGCCTGGGAGAGACAGAGTCCACTACCTTTGAAGTTCATCTTATTTAGGTTGTCTTGTGTGTAATTTGGCAAACTCCAGGTTAGGGCTAGATTTTTTTTTTTTTTTTTGGGCTAGATTTTTAATGGGACTGAAATAAATGAAAATAGAGGTGGTTTGAATGGAAGGACAGTTGGAAGGGATGGAAGGAGTTGGTGCTTGACACAAATTCTGGAATCCCTAAGTTCCACCTGGGGAAGATTCCCCTAGACACACAATAAATAACATAACCTCAAAAACTTATGTAGTAAGTAATTTAGTTTGACTTGCTAAGCATCATGTTAGCTAATATGTTATGCCATATCATAGGGTGCCCCATATTCTCTGATATCTCTTGGATTAAAAAAATCATAGAGCAGATTTTGGTAGGGTCTGGGGTCAAAATAATAATAGTAATAACTGTGAATCATGAAAAGACTCAATACTTGCCAGACGCTGTGCCTGGTGCTTTCATACATTACATACATCCCAGGAGTCCTACACAGCAGGGCTTATCAAACTCACTTCATAGGAAAGCCTCACAGAGCTTCGCAATTTTCCTGACTTCACATGGCTCATGAGTGTCAGAACTGGGACTAGACCTCTGGTCTGAATTCATTTAGGGCTCTCACTGTTCCACTCCTTGAATAAAGCAGTTGCTCTGTCTCTTAATTCAGTTCTACTCTCAACACTCCACAATGTCTTTTAGGCAATGAAATGAAGGACCCTGTTGCCAATGTACTAACGCCAGGTATAATAAGTAAAAATTGAAATGAGAATTGAAAACAATTCAGGATAGGCTGTGAGCTTAATTTACCTAAGCTCCTCCTGTCCCTACCCCCAGAGATCCTTGAGATCTGACTCTGCCCTAATCCAGCACTTCCAGAAATATATCACTGTTGGCCTGGGTCTTCCTCCTGTCACAATCTAGATCCTGACCTGCTGTCTAGTTTCCTTTCTTAAGGCTGCTGTCTGCTCCCAGTGGGAAAAAAAGCCCCGAATCACCTGCCTCTCCCCTGATTTAGAGCCTCCCAATCCCCAGAGATGTCCCCTGTCTGTCCCATCCTTGACTATGGAATCCCTCTGATAACAATAGCCCCGTCCATGTGGTTGTTTACTTTGGCTGTGAAGTTTAGACGTCTGCTCATCTGCTCTGGGCCCTTCCCCTACACTCAAAGTTTTTTCCAAATTGGCTTGTGAGTAGAGTCTGGTTCGGCACAGGATCTACGGGTTATTGGAAGATAACCCTGAAGTTAGGGAAGAGATTTTAGAAAGCAGATGAGGTTAGTAAGAAAGGAGAATTTAACCTGGGATTTATTTGAGACTTACCACTGAATCCATACCCTGAAGAATGAGCTTAACTAAGTGGCCAAGAACCAAAGCTTCTTTCTTTCCTAAGTGGTAGATGAGGAAGGATCAAGGAAATCGCTGTGTCACAACCATCTGCAGAGGCTGGATTCCTAAGAACTCAGGTTTTTAGGAGGATTTAGTATTTTTCTATTGCTGACAAACAAATTGCCATAAATCAAGGGACTTACAACAACACATATTTATTATCTCACATTTATGTAGATGGGATATATGGGTTGGCTATGCTGTTTTCTTTGTTCAGGGCTACACAAAGCCCAAATCAAGCTGTCGGAGACTGGGTTCTCATTGGTAGGTGCTGAGAAGAACTGCATTCCACTCTTACTCAGGTTGCTCTCAGAATCCAGTTCTATGAAGAATTCAGTTCTTTGTGGTTATAAGACTGAGGCCGTTTCCTTGCAGACTGTCAGCTGGAGATGCCATAGTTCCTCTAGGCCTTCCTTCAGTCCTTGCAAATGGGCCCCTGCTTCTGAAACAGCACATTGAATCTGTCTCTTGTGGAAACTCTCCTACTTTCCCCTCTGCTGCATCTCTCTTCTGCATCCAGCCAGAGAAAAGTTCTCTGCTTGTAAGGGCTCATGTTGTTTGACTGGGACCACCCAGATAATTCAGTATAACCTCCCTATTTTAAGGTCCATTCCATAATTTTAATTACATACACTAGGTGCCTTTGGCTATGTAACATGACATATTCACAAATTTCAGAGATAAAGCTATGGGCATTATATGGAATGACTATTGAGTCTACCACTGAGGTAGAAAATGTCTCCTTGGTGGAGATGCCAGCTTTAATAAGAAAAAGAAATTGACCATCATTTTCCTGAGTCTTGTCTGTATCTGCACCAGAGGAAAACCCTGCTTTTCCAGTGTGCCTAGAGACATCTGTACAAGTGTTCAGGCATGTTCAACAGGTGGTGAATAGCAGAGACTCACAACTATGATTTTTTTATGCAGCAGAAGGAAGAAGAAAAATCTCAGTGTATTGAGATTATACAGGTTACTGAAAAGGTCAGTGTAGAACGGTGCTAAGAATGAAGAAGGGTGCACCCTCCCTGCTGAGATTTATGGGATCCTTTTGAAAGCTGAGGTGACCCTGTATTTGAAAAACACAGGTCACATACTGGCACTAGAAAAAGTTGTTGAATTGCAAGGAAATTTGACCTTCCCAGAAAATCCTCCAGGAATGACGAGGGCTAATGTCATAACAAATTTTAATAGTTGCTCTTTTTTGAGCAACTACTGTGTGACAGTTAATGGGAACGTATACAAGTGCTCATTCACTTCGTGTCCTACTCTCCATCCTTGTAGTTCATATGGAGACTACACGCGCAACCACTTGTAGTTAAGAAGGGTCATGTGATTATCCATAACACTGAAATATGAGCAGAAGCATGCTTGTCACCTCCAGACCCAGGTATTTGAGAACCAGTATGTCAACTCCATGCTTCTTGTTTCATTCAGCAGCAAACGTGGAGAGCCTGTGTTGAGATGTGGAAGCTCATGAGGGAAGCAGCCTAGATCCCTGAGTCACCTGACAGTGTAGACACCACCTCCTGCCAGCACCCATCAGATTTTATGTGCATAAGAAATAACATTTTGTTATGTTAAGCCATTCAGAAATCAGACTTCTCCTATCACATCTCATAAAAAACTTTATCTGAATAATGCATACCTACTCTTTCTGTTATTTTTATTTAAATATCTTAACCAAAAAGGAAATAGGACATATATTCTTGTTTCCAAAACATTCTAACAATAGGAAGAAATCCCAATTACTCTTCCTTACCATGTTCCTCCAAAATTCATCCTTGCCCAGAGGTAACTGCATTAAAAATTCTTCTGTGTAGTATTTTAGCATTTATTCCAGGCCTAGTCTTACATACCTGTGCTAGAAATATACAGTGAGTTTTTAAAATACATGCATAACACTATTGTTCTGACTTTTGCCCTTGTCACTGAATAAAATGAATGCAGGATCTTTCCATGAGAACATATATAGATCGTGTCGCTCTTTTAACTACTCCCTAGAATTCTAAAGTGTGTATGTGTTGTAATTAATTTAACCATTCTCTTCCTGACAGACACACAAGTTGTTTCTCATTTGCTGCTATGATTAATAGAACTGACATCAACATCATCGAACATCAATTCTCGGGCAAATGTGCATGTTTTATCATAGGAAAGATGTACAAAAGTGCAATTAGATTAAAGTGGAAGGAGTGTGATGATAGTAAATTTTTATGAATATTGGTGATATTCTGTTCCAAGAATGCTATACTAAATTATCTTCTCACATATTTATGTATGTGAATAAATTAAGCTCTCATTGGTATTTTATCAAACTTTTAAATTTTGGTCAAACTTTTGATTGAAAATATATCATCTCACTGTTATTTTAATTTGTATTTCCCTATTTTCTAAATAGATTGAGCAGAAAATTAATTTAGTCCTTCACCCATATAAAGCAAA